TATGGTTTTAATATATTTTTCGCTTCTTCATAAATTTCTTTGTGACATTTTCTGTAATGATCAATAATTCCTGTATGTTTGTTTTTTGGATCACGAAATTTATAGCTACAGTTTTTTTGTAAACATGAAATGGAGTTATTTAATTCTATTTTAAAAAAAATATTTGATGACATTTTGTTCTGGTTATTAATTAGATTTTAGTTCCAAAAGTTTTTTGGCTCCAATTTTTTTTTGGCTCCAATTTTTTTTTGGCTCCAAAATTTTTTTTTTTTTGGTTCCAAATTTTTTGATAAAGGATTTCCACATCTATTTATATTTTTTTTGTGTAATTTTTTTTTTGTAACTTCAAAATTTTTTTTATATTATAAGTAATTTCCAACACCGTGCGTAACAACCGAAGGTTGTTACAAACGGCTTCAAATGAACAAGTCTCGAGTGCTGCGCCTCGAGATGCGTTTATTTGTACTTTCCACTATTACCTTGGGTCTCTGGAACCTGGAACCAATATATTATAAAAATAACTAGATAAAATTTTTTTTATTTGAATTCTATGGATTCATATAATTCAAATAAAAAAAAAAAATTTATCAAACTTGGGCAGGTAGTTGTTGAGATATCTTCGAGGGAAAATCAAGATGCCTATTAAAATAGAAACTATATCAATTTTTTTAAAATATTTGAGTGATGATATCTCCACAGCTGTCTAACCAAATTCGACAAAATTTTTTTTATTTAAGTTCTATGAATCCATATAATTCAAATAAAAAAATTTTTATTGAATTTGGTTAGATAGTTGTGGAGATATTTTCGCTCAATGTTTTTAAAATAGCTTCTATTTTGATAGGAGTTTTGATTTCTCTCTAACTTTGAGTGAAGATATCTCCATATCAACCTGACCAAATTCGATGTATTTTGTTTATTTGTATTCTATAAATTTATAGAATTCAATAAAAAATTTTTTGGCTGAATTTGGTCGGGTTGTACCAAGATATTTTAGGTTAAAGATTTGAAAATTTTGATTTTCTAATATCACGTGACTGTGCTGCCCCTAAGCACTGTCCGTAGACTTTTTGAGTAGCCATCTCTATCCATGTATAGTGTGATCACTTTATCTAATTTTGATTAGTTAATATCATATATAGACGTGATCACTACCTCTGACCATATATCTATAGTAAAAATCATGTAATAAATGGTATGCCCTTAATAAAAGTTATTCAAATTGTATAAAACTTTCAAAATATATGTATTTTTAAATTCTGAATATATATTTACTTAGTAGAATTTTGACTTTTATATATAACAACTGTTAAAAATTTTTGAAAAATTCAGGTGGTAGCTTATTTTTGGATAAGAGAGGATTCTTAGTTTTTGGCTTAAAAGTAAGAGGTAGCTTATTTTTGGAGTAGCTTATTTTCAGGAATATATGGTATTAATTATTTGCTCAATTTATTTAGAAAAAAGTAATTATTAACTTTATTATTTCGTTTCTCTTTTATATATATATACTTTAATTCTA